ATCATAAAAGTTTTTCAGGAGTTTGTAACTTGGCTTAGGGAATGCATTTTCTTTTTAATTTTCTAAGAGGTCAGTCTATTTTTTAAAAACAGTATATGGCTTTCTTCTAAAAAGGAATGCATTTTCTTTTTAATTTTCTAAGAGGTCACTCTACTTTTTAAAAACAGTATATGACTTTCTTCTAAAAGCTTATCTTTACCAAAACACATTTTTGCTTCTATACTTAAACCATTGTCAAGGAAACTAACCAGAATGCTTTGTTGTCTGAGTATATTCAAGAAGGGGAATGTCTAACAGCTAAAAAATAGGACTGAGTGACAAGATTCCTGGATTGAAATTTCTAGCTTTCACTGACTTGCTCCACGAACCTGAGCATGTCTCTTATTTTTCCATGCCTGAATTTAGCCTTCTAAAAGCTCGTATTTAATTCAGCTTTCCAGTTTGTTTTTAAAATAGACCAAAAAACCCACAAGAATTGATTTTTTTAAATTAAAATGTACAAAAGCAGAAACATTTGATTGCAATACTGAGGATTGTTTATGGAAGAAGTTTGTGGGCCTTGAAAATCTCCTACACTGAGCATATGTCTACACTACACAGCTTTTGGCAATCCATGTCAACACAGCTGAGTTATTAAAAGTCAGTAGTGTAAAAAACTTCCAGCCTCTGCAGCAGTGATATTTGCTTTCCAGAGAGCGCTCCAGCTCACAAAACACTGTTTACTCTAGTACATGCTGTAAGAAAGCTTTTTCTGTTGGGTGGGGGGAGGAAGGGCAGGAGGAGGAGTTTAAACACCTGTGAACAAAAAAAGGTTTGTTGCTCAATTGCCAGTGCATAGGAAGTCTTAAGGCGTGGGGATGGAGCAGGCAGGGAGCCTGATTGAGGCTCTGGTGGGCCGAATCTGGCCTGTGGGCTTTGTTTTGCCCAGTTCTGCCCCAGATGCTATGCCTAGTGCTCCAGCCATGGATAAAAAATTCTCCTTGTTTGGGCTTTGTTTTGCCCAGTTCTGCCCCAGGTGCTATGCCCAGTGCTCCAGCCATGGATAAAAAAATTCTCCTTATTCTCACACAAATTATGTAAGCAATAGTATGCGGTCAACACCTTGGGGAGATGATCCTCCAAAAGTTCCAGGCAGACATAGAGACTTTCCTATATCTCTTCAATTTGTCAAAAGCACATTCAGGAATCATGCAGCATCAGTTTTTAGGCTATTGTTGAACTACTCCTTATTGCTGTGTAGGTGCCCTGTGTAAGGTTTCATGAGCCAGGGCTGTAAGCCAGGTTACTGAGGAAAGTCCCTGCCTGCAACTTTCTGAAGATGCATGCATCATGCACCTTTCTGGACCATCCCGCATTTATGTCTGTGAAATGCCCCTGGTGATCCACAAGCATCTGAAGCACCATAGAGCAGTACTGCTTCTGACTGACATACTCTGTGGCAAGGAGGGGTGATGCTATGAGGGAAATGTGTGGTGGTGTTTGTCCCACCACTGTTTGGAAAGCACTTTTCTGCAAAGCTAGCTTCTGTGTCATCCACATTTCCCAGAGTCATTGTCTTATGCAGCAAAATGTAATTTATTGCCCTGCACACTTGCAGAAGTGCTACCCCAACAGTAGACTTCCCCACTCCATACTGATTTACAGCTGAACGGAAGCAATCTGGAGTTGCCAGCTTCCACAAAGCAATCAGAACATACTTCTCTACTGAGAGAGCAGCTCTCATTCATGTGTCCTTGCACCGCAGTTCAGGGGCCAGCTCAGCACACCGCTCCATAAAGTTTGCTTTATGCATCCTAAAATCCTGTAGCCAGTGCCCTTCATCCAACACCTGCATGGCAATGCAATCCCACTACTCTGTACTGGTTTCCCTAGCCCCAAAGCAGCACTCTGTTCTGCACTTCTGCTTTGTATAGGGATGTTAAATATCGGCTTAATCAAATAGTCGATTAACCTCATGAATTCTTTGGTTACACAACTATTCTGTAGCCCCTGGGGGTGGGACTGGCAGCCAGTGCACTTTGGCCCCACTCCTGAGGAGCCCGCTGCCGCTCCACCCTGCTGCCTCTGTTGCAGAGGTAGCAGTGTGAGGTGCCTGGTGGGAGCTGGTCTGTGAGGGAAGCCAGTTTAGAAATCAGTTCCTCTCATGGACCAGCTGCTTGTCACCCTGTGTTGTTGCCTCTGATGCAGAGGCAGCAGCGCAGGGTGGCAGCAGCCCCTGTCTGGGGGGGGGGGAGGGGTGGGTCAGGGTTGTGGGCTGGACTGCCTGCTTGCCTGCCTGGCTCCTAATACATTTCAAATGCAGAGCTGCCGTAGGATTAGGTCCCAGACCCAGGGCAAGCAGGACTGAGCCAGGTTGCTGGCCATCCTGCTAAAAAATTTACTGGCAGTGGGGAAGAGATGTGTGTAGTCCATAGCATTAACCGATAAGCTTTTGTTTATCGGTTAATTGGCTAATCGAGTATACTATTACATCCCTAGCTCTGTAATAGCCAAATGAAATGCCAAGTTGTTGCTATGTGTTGCTCACACTGTTGTCTGCATCAAAGTTGTCTTCCTCTGATGTTAAGTGCGTAAGTAGCTTTGCTGCAATGCACAGTGTCCAAAGCACATTGAACAGAGCATAGGAGAGAAATCTGGAATCCCTGATTTCTCAAAACAGATGATGGACCAAGAACTGTCAGTTTCAGATGGTACAGAAGTAAGCTGGAAGCCCCCGGAGGCTGTGAAACACAAATGTGATGGATGGGATATTTTTCACATTCCCCAAATGCCTTGTGCTATGCTGTGCGTTTCCACAATGCCTAGCGACTTACAGTGACGCCAGGCACTGTGGGATGCATACCCACATTGTTTTGCTTTTTCTGTCAATGGGGGCACTAACAATGTAGCCATAATATGTCAACAGAGGGTGGCAATTTAAATATGATTTGGTGACTTGCTTTTTGTACAGTTGAATGCCAACATTACTTGAGTCACCAAACCTTCCCAGTGTCAACATTGCCTAAATGGGAACTTCTTCCCAATAACGGTTTGTATGCACCGGCAGTTGAGCGGCAAGGATGCTCAAACCTACCCCCTTTGCACTCTAATGAGAAAAGCTTTGTCAGGGTAAGCGTTGATGTAAACAGCACCATTCATGGGGCCTAGAAGTTTTTGTCCACAAAAGTTCCAACAAACAGTATTTCCACAGCCTGACTTTTAGTGAGTTTGTGTTGCGAAAAGCTCTGTAAATGTAGAACAAGCCTAATTCAAAGGAAGCCATCTGTAATCCCCACAAACTACTTAATCCTAAATTTGAAATAATTTATCTAAAAATAAACAAGACAAATGCAGAAACCCTAATTATTAAGCTATATCGCAGGAATAGGATTGAATCTTAAATGTGTGTGTAGCACTTTGAAATGTTGGCATTGAATGCCCGACTTATGTGAATTGTGTTTGTTCATATTTAATACTTCAGCTAACTTGAACTCAAACATTGTAAGCACTTTTAATAGATTAAAGTGATTTCTAATCTTACTATAATATTAAGGGATGTCAACATGTAGTTGACCACACGATTAGCCAATAAGCCCCCCAGCCTTGCTGCCTCTAATACAGAGGCAGCAAGGGGGGGCAGGGAGGAGCAGGAGCTGGGGCCCATGAGGAGCTGGCTTTAAGCAGGCTCTCCATGAGCACTGGATCCACGCCCCCCCCTCACCCCCCCAAATGCAAAAGGTGAGGGGGGCAGGCTTGAATCCATACATGTGGGAAATAGGCTTTCAAGCAACCTCTCTTCACGGGCCAGCTTTCCGGACCCACCTGCCTCAACTCCCCCCCCGTTTGCTGCTTGCTGCAGGCAGGAGTTGGTGCTGGGAGAAGCTGGCTTAAAAGCTGTGGTTGGGGACTGCTGCCTCCTCGCACTTCCCTTACGAACTGGCTCCTGCCTATCACCCCACGCTGCTGCCTGACACAAGCAGCACGAGGTGGCAGGGGGCTCCGCAGGAGTGGGGCTGGCTGACAGCTCTGCTCTTGGGGACTATCAGATAGTTGTGTAGCGACTAAGATTTCATGCGGTGACACAACTATTCAATTACATATCATCTACCATCCCTAGTGATACTTGCTGAAATAAGTGTTTGATTTATGGAAAGAAACTGGTTTATTGCCGTACTCTTTTTCCAGCAATGTACACTAGAACATGGTTCTCAAATTATTGAGATGTGGTCCAACCAGTGGAAAAGATTTCTTTGTGTAAAACCTCCCATTTTTTTCATGATTGCATAACATCCTTATAGTAAGAAACATTACTCTTTGTTAAAGAACTAATTTTAATTCATTACTGCAATAGGATTACATATGAGCCTTCATTCTTAGGAAAAATGGTATAATAATATTTAACCATCTGAGAATATTTGTTTTAATTCATAGCAGGGGTGGATTGATTTAAATCACAAAAAAAATTGATTTTAAATCAAGCTTCCCACTGATACTACTTCACACATTTCTTCAAACTTTCTTAAAAATTTTCAAATATTATTAACCCTAACAAACAAATCCTCAGAACAATAAATGTACAGAATCCTTAAAACTTCTACAATTAGCTCTCATCTTCCTCACTCACGCTGTCATTTTGATGCACATCTGATTCCAAGTTACCAGAAAAGCTAAAACTGACTGTACTTAGAGTGCGCTTAATTTTGGAGGAAGCCCCATTGGAAACCAGCTTTCCCAAAGGAACCACATCCTATACTTAAGTAAAATAGGGAATACACTTATGTAGTGGTGTTGACTACACGATTAACTGATAAGCCTGGTTTTATTGGTTAATCCTGTCAACTATGTGCACTTCTCCCCTCCTTGTTGTATCTGTATCTTGGGAAGGGAGAGGGGGGCAGGCAGGAGCCAGCTCCCCATGAGCACCAGATCCTATGGAGCTACTTGCCAGAACCCTCCACTGCCTGTGCTGCTGCCTCTGATAATCTGATATTTAATCTTAATATTTTCCATTCTCTTTGCAGAGGAAGATGTGCTGTGGTTAGAAAATGTATAGCTAAATCCACAGGCCAAGAATATGCAGCTAAATTTCTAAAGAAGAGGAGAAGAGGACAGGACTGCAAAGCAGAAATTTCACATGAAATTGCTGTGCTTGATCTAACAAAGTCTAGTCCTCGTGTAGTTAATCTCCATGAAGTCTATGAAACAGCAAATGAAATCATCTTAGTGTTGGAATAGTAAGTATGCATTACATCGTCTTCAGTATTTAAAATAGATTTTATAATTAATTGTTTGTGTCAGTTGAGCAAAAGTAACCAGAAGAACAATGAGCGTATGTACAGTGAAGTTAATATTGCCTTTTTATGATCCATTTTGTTTGGCTCTTGGGGGGGGGTGAGGAAGGTGGCGTCTCAATACTAATTTTTGGCTGTTGAATTTTTCAGGAATGATTTTATATTTATATTAAAATATGTAATGAAACCATCATAGTTAATGTATATGCTTGTGTTTTTTGTAAGTTACCTCATTTTTCATAATCAATTATAAATAACTAATAAAATGAATATTGGTGAAACAATAAAATTAATGTTGTAGTGACATAAATCAAGAAAATTGAACAATACATAAAATATTGCTACACTTAAAGCTCAAATAAATGCATATAATTATATTAAACATGTACACTTAAAACTGCAGTCAGTTACGAAATGCAAAAATTAACATTTGTGTGACAGAATTAACATGGTTGCATTACACAGCTTCTGTGTTTTATGATATACACCAGGGACGGGGAACCTTTTTTGGATCAGGGGCCTCTGATCCACAGAATAATCAGTCGGTGGGCCACACACAAGTAAGAAGCAAAACCAAAAAACTCTCATTGATATGGCCTGTGACAGACAAGCAAAAAGACACTCCCCACACTCCCTTCACATACCAGAGCCTGGGGAGGAGGTCCAAGCTGGTAGATTTTGTGTGCAGACTCTCCATTGCTGGAGGAGGAGCCCTGAGCTTTGGTGGTGGAGGGGTGGATCCAGCCCCTAGGCCTGAGGTTCCACCCCGATATACATGTTAGGATACACATAGTGCTAGTTACATATATTACCAGGAAAATCAAGAGTAGAAAATGATGTGATAACATTGGAGTTGGACCCTTAACTTTTGCATCTTATTCTGGATAGATTTTTTTTTTTTTTTTAATGGAGGAAAAAATCACTGGTGTTAATTTAAACACATTATGTATTAGACCCAAGTAGGTTTTGAAGACAAATTCTTTTCAGATGATAAATCTGAACAGAGAATAAGTTCTGATGTTTTATTTTGCATAGATACATTTTTTTCTTCAAGTGATGTCCCCGTGAGTGCTCCACTGTAGGAGTCGAGCTCGTCCTGGTGCTGCAGATCGGAGTTTTGCGTAGCAGAGTGAACTCTTCTCTTCAACCTCTTTTAGTCAGAAAATCTTATACACTGTAAATTAGTTCTTATAATTGTTATAGTTAATTGGTTAATTAGTTAGTTGTTAGTTGTAAATAAATAATAGTTGTGTAGATTTAGTGTTAGTAAAATTTGTGCATTGTTACCGGCCTTCAGGCTTCCCCCCCCCCCCCCAAAAAAAAAAGGAAAGAGGAGAAGACAGACTTTCTTCTGAACCCAAGATGCCTGGTTCCCCGGGTTTTAAGAATTGTGACACGTCGCGAAGCTATGCCCACCTCAGATGGCCATTCTTCATGTATCTGTTGCCTCGGCGAGACTCACATACCGCAAAAGTTCCCTCACTGTTCAAAATTAACAGTGTGGGCCTGCTGGGAAAGAGAGATGCGTCTCTGGATGATCCTGTTTGATAAAGCACTCTAGCTGTCGGACCCAAAGTCCTTAGCTATTTCAGATCCAGCCGCTCCATTCCGCTGGAGAGCCTCTTCATCAGGCTCCATTCTGCCCAGAAAGACCTGGGCGTCGCTAACACGCTCCCTGCCATCCTTTTCACAGAGCACAGTGAGCACTGGGGACAAGCCAGGCACGTCCGGCACCGCCTTTCCCATTTAAAGGCGGCTCCAACCTCTAAACCAAAAAAGATACCACCCATCGTGCCAACAGCACGGCTGCAGATGAAACTGAGAGCACCCTCAGCATCAGCAGCCTCATCTGCCAAACGGCACTGTTGCCTCCGTTGGTACCGACTCCAGCGCCGCTGCCAGCACCTTCGGTTCTGCAAGTACCGCCGGCACCAGAAAGGACTGAGGCGTCCTCTGCTCTGAGAAAAGCCTCTTCTAAGATGGACAGACAGCATGATAACTGACCAGACAAACCTTCATCTCCCGCCGTCTAATAATCAACTACCAGAAATCAGTACTCGACCTATCTCAGACCTTAGAATTCATTAGTGCTCATTTAGGTTTTACCACAGCAAGGGCTTATCTACCCATCCAGAGGTTCCAAACTATCCAAGTCCTGATTGCGGTACTAACCAATAGTCTGATGGTTCAAATACTTACCTGCCTACAACTAATGGGCCATATTGCGGCAACAACATATGTAGTCCAGCATGGTGGATAGTGTCCATCTATGTTCCCACAAAGCAACACGTTCACAGGGCAGTGACCCCTTCAGCCAATGTCCACAAATGCCTAAAATGGTAGACCGATTTGCACAATCTCCTGTCCAGAGTCCTGTTTCATCAACCATAGCCTTCTGTCCACATCACAACTGACGCTTCCCTCATTGGTTGGGGAGCCCACATGGATGATATGTCCGTTCAGAACCAATGGTCACCATGGGAGACCTCTCTTCATACAAACTTTCTGGAACTCAGGGCAGTCTTCAACACTTGCAAGCACTTCCGCAAATACATTTGCGATCCATTGGCGAGAGTACTTACAGACACTATTGCTACATTGTATTATATCAATCGTCAAGGCGGCGCACGATCTCACTCCCTTTGTGCAGAAGCACTGCGCCTTTGGAATGGGTGCATTCGAAACAACATCACTTTGATGGCATCTTACTTACCTGGTGTCAACAATGTTGCTGCAAACTCCCTGAGCAGACATTTTGCATCGGATTACGAGTGGGAGCTCCGCGATGATGTCCTCCACCATGTCTTCCACCACTGGAGTTTTCCCCTCCTAGACCTCTTCGCTACCTACGAAAACAAGAAAAGCCACTACTATTGCTCCAGGGCGAACGTTGGTTCCAGATTTCTTTCTCCTCAACTGGGGGGATCCGTTCTCTATGCATTTCCCCCCACCGTACTTGTACCCAGAGACCTCGAGAAGGCCAACACAGATGGAGCCAAGTTAATCCTCGTTGCACCCACTTGGGCCTGTCAACCTTGGTTTCTGTTTCGCCAACGAATATCTCCGTATCCCCCATACGCCCTTCCCAACCTGACGGACCTACTGACCCAGGACCAGGAGTCCCTTCTGCACCCTCAGCCTTCCACCTGACAGCCTGGCTCCTAATTGGCTCAACGCATCCGAGGTCAGTGCTCAGTGCAGGTCAAAGAAATCCTGTTCCATAGCAGAACATACAACACACAAGCTACTTGCCTCTCGAAATGGTAAAGGTTCACATCCTGGTGCTCTTCAAACCACATTGAACCATATTTAGCACCTCTTCATTGAATCCTTGACTACATATGATACCTGGAACAGACAAATCTAGCCTTAGCTTCCCTAAAAGTACATTGTGTGGCAAGGCATTCTATAGATCAGTGGTCTCCAACCTTTTTAAGCACAAGATCACTTTTTTAATTTAAATGCAATCCAGAATCTACCTCAAACACAAATACCCATGTCCCATCTCCTTCGGGCCTCTTCTCCAAGGCCCTGCCTCTGTTTACTCCGTCCTCCTTCCCTCCTCCCATCCCCCTCTCATCAATGTGCAGGGGCAGAGGGTTGGGGCACAGGCTCTGGTCTTGGGCTAAAGGACTGGGAATGTGAGACAGGCTCTGAGCTAAGCCTGGGGCAAGAAGTTGGGCTATAGGAGGGGGTTCAGGGTATGAGCTCTGTAAGAGAGTTGGATCCAGGGGGCTCAGGGCTAGGGCAGCAGCTTGGAGTGCGAGAGGGGGTTCATGACTGGGGCAGGGGTTCGGAACTGGCACCAGCTGAGCACTGCTTATCTCAGGTGGCTCCTGGGTCGTGGTGCAATGGGGCTAAAGCAGGCTCACCCCTAACCCTGCACCTGCATCACTCTCAAAAGCAGCTAGCAAACTCCATCCCAACCCCTATTGTGTCCCCCTTCCATTCTGTGGAGATGAAATACAGGGTAGAAGAGGAGGCACCCTGACATCAGCACCCCCTTCTCTCCCTTCCCTGCTCTGCACAGCAAGCAGGAGGCTCCAGTGGGGGGAGGCAGCTCTAAGGCAAAGAGCAGGAGATGCGCAACAGTGGGGGGAGGGGCAGCTGAAGTGCTGGCACTTGATAGCCTCTTGGCCAAACCAGTCAGGATCACCTGTCAGAGGCTCCAAGATCTACCACTAGATCCTAATCTACTGGTTGGTGACCACTGCAATAGATGGCACCTAAGTGTTTGCCCACCTGATTACTAAGAGGTTCCTTAAGAGCCTAACAAACCTTAATCCCGCTTGAAGACCCACTCCTCCACTGTGGAGTCTAGACTTAGTGTTGGGAACACTCACTAACCACCTTTTGAATCCTTTGGCCACTATATCGCTCCAAGTGTTGTTGCTAAAGGTACTTTTTTTGCTTGCCATTACAGCGAGATGACAGCCCTGATGGCAGTACCACTGTACACAACATTTAGCAAAAATGGCGTGATTTTGAGACCCTATCCAGCCTTTATTCCTAAAGTCTGTTCCAAGTTTCACATTAATGAACCAATTGTTTTCCCCTCCTATCATAAGCCGCACACCTCCCCACAGGAGGTGACGCATCACTCTCTCGAAGTGCACAAAGCACTCGCCTTTTATATAGTAAGGACAAGTCCCTACCGGAAAACAGACGGTTTAATAGTTTCCCTCACTGATTGATCCAAAGGTGAGGCGTTATCGTCCCAATGAGTTGCGAAATGTATAACTTCCTGCATCACTTCCTGTTACACTACACAATGTACACCGTTTCCAGCTCAACCAAAGGCTCGTTCTACAAGAGCAGTGACAACGTCGATAGTCTTTCTGAGAGGGGCTTCCCTCCAGGACATTTGTCGGGCAGCCACATGGTCATCCCATAACACTTTCATAAAGCACTATGCAATCATGCACCGACTGGCTACGAATACTTCACTAGCCTCAGCAGTACTTTCATCAGCAATTCATCCGTGACTTTGGGACCTTTCTTCCAGATAGCTGAGTACTGCTATACTGTCACCTACAGTGGAGCACCCACAGGGACATCACTGGAAGAAGAAGAGGAAGTTACCTTGGTGCAGTAATAACTGTTCTTCGAGATGTGGATGTTCCACTACCCTGTGGATGTTCCACTACCCGCTCTCTTTCCCACTCCAGAGTCTCTCATTATATTGTTCAGATACCAGGGGAGATTCAAGGAACTGGCGGGAGCCTGACCGCGTACGTGTGCAAAAGGTTTTGAACACGGAGAGGCGCTGGCCGCGCATGTGCGGTCTGGCTGACCACTGCTATGCAAAACTCCAATCTGCAGCACTGGGACGAGACCACAGGGGCACACATCTTGAAGAACATTCGTTACTGCACCAAGGTGAGTAACGTCCTCTTCTTTGTAGCCAAGTTAATGAGAGAGCGTTGTATGTTTATATTGTGACAAACATCTTTTTAAGACTAAATTATGGGGAGACCCTAATGTTAAAGAATCTTTTTAATTCACTGATAACCTGAATAGTAGCAATAAGTGAATTAAGTAAATTGTCCTTTATTCAGGTAGGGGAAAAATTCCTTGTCTATATTTAAAAAAAAAAAAAAGACGTTTGAAACCAGAGGTTTTAAATAACATATGACTCATTTCTGTTTTTCCCCCATCCTCTTCTGCTTCTTGGTTTTTATCAGATTGCACTGTGTTTTGGCCACATCCTGTCTAAAGACATAGATCACTTTTTTTGTGTGTCAGTTCCTGGTTGAAAATTAGTTCCATTTTTCAGGAGAGGTCTACACTAGACTAGACTTGGAAGGTAGGCTTAAGGTACGCAACTCTAGCTACATAGACTATGTAGCTGGAATTGGCTTATCTTAAGCCGAGTTTGGTACCATCCCCACTGCGGGAGGCTGATGGGAGCAAAAGTTCCTGTCCGCTTCCCTTCCTTATTGCAAGGAGTATAGAAGCTGGCTGGAGCTGGCCTTAGTGTTCGATTTATGGGTCTATACTAGACCCAGTAAATCAAATGCCAGAACATCAATCTTTGGTGCGGTGAGTGAAAATGTGCCCTCAGATTTGGATCATTTTTATTTTCAGGTTTTTATGCACTTGCTATAGAGTCCATGGTTGTGTTTTGTTTTGTTTAAAAATATCCCTGTCAACAGATATTTGTGGTTAATCACATTCCGTAAAATTTTATATATAATCATAGTTGAATTTGATCTTATAGTGTGTATATAAGTGTGAGTGTGTGTACACGTACTCACACCAATGCTAGCAGATTTACCCAGTGTTGATTGGGTCCTTGACTGTAGTAATGGTTGCAGAGTGGTGTTCTGGAAATTACAAGAAAAATGTATATGCTGCAGTTAAATGATAGTATTGGGCAGGATTTTGGGTGGAGCGAGGGGGAGGCTCAGAGCAGGATGTGGTAGTACAGGAGTCAGGGCAAGGGGCTTGGAAGTGTCATGGAGGCTCAGGCTAGGTGGTTTGTGGGGGGCTCACCAGGGCAGCCCACGGCAGTGAGGGTGGTGGTGCTCCGGTGACAGCAGCTCCCTTAGGCATCTGGGGCTGTGCTGCCTAGCTAGCAGATCTTCTCTGGTGTAAGTGCAATAAAGAAAGAGGAGTTGATGGTTTGGGTACAAACGAGGTAAAATGTTTAGGAAGGGAGAAATGGTGATATAACAAACATAAAACATAAAATGGTAAGAATAACCCCTAAATACAGTGTCCTTTCTCTCCTGAGGACTTGTTAGTGGCGATAGTGGAGGTGCCCAGAACCTTCTATCTTTGGGCTGATTTGGAGCCCTTGAGTAGGAGCACTGGGGAGTCCCACAATGTTCTGTCCCGGACTGGTGGGTAAAGAGTTGCAGGCTGTCGGTGTTGCAGGCAGGTAGTGTGTTGGTGAGGGTGGTAATCACCTTCTGAAGTATTGGATTCTGCCCACCAAGCCACCAGATCTGGCCCGCAGAGGCAGTGGGGAGCCCCAGGTAGGCTCCCCTGCTTTCCCTGCAGCCCCACATGATGCTCAGAAATGGAGCTGCGGGGCATTTTCATTTTAAAAACCAGAGAGGAGGGGGGAAGATTCAGATGCTGTTCCTGCCTCCGGTACAGTCCCATTGGTCAGTTTCTGGCCAGAAACTGGCTAATGGAAGCTTTCTGTTTGAATAACAGGCAGACATGAAGCACAACCTCCTCCCCTGCTTTCCCTGCAGCCCCACATGATGCTCAGAAATGGAGCTGCGGGGCATTTTCATTTTAAAAACCAGAGAGGAGGGGGGAAGATTCAGATGCTGTTCCTGCCTCCGGTACAGTCCCATTGGTCAGTTTCTGGCCAGAAACTGGCTAATGGAAGCTTTCTGTTTGAATAACAGGCAGACATGAAGCACAACCTCCGCCGCGTGCCCCCTCCCCCCCCCCCCCAGTTTTACACCAACAACAGATGGGGGCTGGG